AAGGGTCAGTGGTTATTCCAAACCTACTGTTTTGCCCTTCTTTATATTCGGTCACTTCAAACCCCGAAGTTTCAAAAGCAAAAGAGCTTGAGAAATTTTTCAGTTCAGTCCACTGGGAAAAAGGCCACACTGCCTTGAGTACACAAGTACTGCTTACAGCACTTCAGCCATACATCAGCTCCTGAGCTGCTCATTCTGAGCCTACCTATTCATTTGGAACTGATCTCCCAGTATCATAGCACAATAACTGGAAAACCTATCCTGAGATAATATTTTGGCTCTCTTCAGACCATGCACACAGAATATAAATCAAACTGGAATATTAATATCATTGCCCTCACAGGGGCATTAAGGGGGAATTTGAAGTAAACAGAAGTAACTCAGAAAAAAAATGCCAGCTTCTGCCCTCACAGAGGTTCTATCTCATTCGTGGGATGGGCTTAAATGACTGAATTATAACTAATAAAAGTCCCCTCCTCTACAACTATTACCAAAACACATTATTAATATAAACTGTTGCTTCATTTTGCTTCCAGTTCCACTGCTCACAAACTGCAACAGAAGTTTAGCTCAAGTCATAGGGCACCATACTCATGACTTCACTGCGTCTGGGGAAGCAGCTGCGTTATTCCATTACTCTAATTAAGGTCAACCACAGAGAGATTGAATTTTCACAAACATAGCAAGCAATTAGCTTCTAGAATAACAGAATCAATTAGGCTGGAAAAGACCTGCGAGATCATCAAGTCCAACTTATGACCAAACACCACCTTGCAAGCTAGGCCACAGCACGAAGTGCTACATCCAGCCTTTCCTTAAACACCTCCAGGGACACTGACTCCACCACCATACTGGTGTTCAAGCAAGCTTAACACACTCATTCAGGACAGCAGTCCCTTCCAGTGTATAATCGCCTTTTCTGTGGAGAAATTCCTCCTGGCCGATCCCCAGCTGGTTACAGCCTCCCCTCAGGTGGTTCTAGAGCGATAAGGCCACCCCTGAGCCGCCTTTTCTCCAGGCTAAAAAACCCCAGCTCCCACAGCTGCTCCTTACAGGACTTGTGCTCCAGACCCTTCCCCAGCTCTGTTTCCCTTCTCTAGACACGCTCCAGCCCCTCAATGCCCTTCCTGTACTGAGGGGCCCAGAAATGGACACAGCACTGGAGGTGTGGCCCCACCAGTGCCGCGCACAAGGGGACTGTCACTGCCCTAGTCCTGCTGGCCACACTACTACTGACATAAGCCAGGACGCTGTAAGAGCGGAGTTTGAGCAGAGATTTAAGAGCAGTTTGCCGGAGACAACACGCCAGCAGGTTAAAAAGAAAAAAAAAAAAGAGTAATAAAGCGCGTAGGAGCCCTTTTTTTTCCTGCGCAGAGCTGAGCGCATAGGTGCGGCTCTACCCGCTCGCCCTGAGGGCGCGTCTAAACCGTACCGAAGGGGACTCACCGCCACCGCCGCCACACAGACACTTGTCCCGCTGGCTGAGGGTGTTGCTGTTGCTGCCGCTGCCCGCAGAGCCCTGTGCCACTCCCCGCCCTGCCGTTACCCCAGCGCCGCCGCCTCCTCGCAATTTCAAATCCGCCCGCCCGGACGTGCCCCAGGGCGTCACACGGAACTGCGTCACAGCGAGGCCAGGAGGGGAGGAGGGAATGGAGGGGAGGAGGATCCATCCAGAGGGGAGGAGGATCCAGAGTTGGGAGGAGGATCTCAATCCCCGGAAGGGCTCGGCGAAGGGCCGTGGCCGTACAGCGGCATGGCGGTGCCCGCGGTGAGTGTGTGCCAGGCGCTCCCGGGCCATGGCGAGCCCTGGGCTTTTCTCCAGTCGCCGAGAGTTTTCCTGGCGAAAGCCCGAGCTCTCGGTCCCTGTGTGCCCGCGGGGATGGGAATCAACGCCTGGCCTCAGCAACGCTGGGACTGCGGCTGCCCCTGCCCTTGTGCCTGTATTACTGCTCCCGAGAGCAGTCATAGATAGTGATCCATGTCTCTGTCTGTATCTATGGTATATATATATGTGTGTGTGTATAGATACAGTGTATGCATATTTATATAGTGTGTGTATATACATATATGTGTGTTTATGTGTGAATATATATAGCGTATGTGTGTATATACAGTGTGCGCATATATATAGTATATACGTAGTCTATATAGCATGTGTGTAACGTAGTAAATATATCTCGTGTAAATGCATATATATGTGGTGTATATACAGTGTATAGATATACACACGAATCATATAGTCTTAGACGTAATCGGTGTGTCATAGGGTTGCTTTCTGACTTGTTAAAAAGAACTGGAGTAAGTGCATACCGCATAAAAGTATAAAAAGTCATATAAAATTTGGTTACTACAAAAAAAGTAGTGGCATAGGGATGAACATAGTGAGGAAACCAGCTGAAGCCAGAAGTTTCAGTAGTGTGCCCTGTATGTGCATGAAAGTGTCTGTTAGAAGGTAGATGCTAATTTATTAAACAGTGATAATTCTGTAAAGTGAATTCTTATAAAAATTCCCACAGGAGGAGGTTGCTCCAGGAAGTGCAGATGGTTTGTGAAGGCTGTGGTTTCAGGGAGCTGATTTTTCATCCTGAAAAGGGGACTTAGGATGTCTGTGGTACATCGTCTGACAGCCGGGTGGCTTGTGGATCATCTCTCTTTCATCAACCAGTGTGGCTATGAGGTCTGTGACTCCTTTGCACACCCTGGTGGTGTCACTTGCAATACTTGTGTCACATCTGATGAAGACTCTCACAGTATTTCTACTTTTGCTGCCACCCCCTCATCAAGCAATGGTCCTCCTTATGGTCCTGGAGATGCCATAGAAGCAGAAGGTAAAAGAGCAAAAATGAGATACGTGTTTCGGGAGGAGTTCTTTGATATATCTAAGCCCCATATAGCTGCAGCTCCTGAGGAGCAGCTGTGTCAGGGATGCCCTGAGGTGAGTCTGACAGAAATAAACGCCAACAGCAACAGAGAGGAATGCCAAGAAGGAGTAAAGAGTGACATTGGAAATTCTCTTGCCACTGCTAGGAAGGTATGTTCTCTGTAACAGAGTAAATTACAGTAATTCCTTGATAAATAATATACTACTAATACTGTTCTGCATACCTGAGTCTTTTGAGGTAGTGTAGAAAAGCATGAACTTTTGAGGATATTCTTGTGTCCCTCATGTCAGTAATGTGCATTCTTGTGTCTTATGAGCAGTGGATTGCTCCCGAAATCTCCTGACATCTGATTGTGGTCAGGTACACAGCCTGAAACTTTAGTAGCTGTTGAGATTGTGCAGATCAGCAAATTGGGAAGGACAGTATGAATTTACTTCCAGTGTTGTTCAGTACTGTTCCATGTGGAGAAAAGAAAATAAAAGTCATTGGTCTAAACCAATAAATGTAATTATGAAGACATAGTTAATTTTTTTCTTCTATTGGTAAACTGCACTTGGCAGCTGAAACTTTTAGTATGGGCCCAAAAGAGGCATAAGGCAAACTGTGCACTAAGTACCTTCAGATCCTAGTGCCATGAATAATTTAAAACAGCTTTAAGCCTATGTACCTTGTGAATGTCTGCAGCAGCTTAGGTATTTTCAGATCTTTTTGCTTATTTGACTTGTACTTGTGATAGAAAAAGAGATGGAAAATTTCTTCCTCTTTTAAAGAGTTAATTTGTAATTCAGGTATGTTAGATTTTTTTTCCCCTTTTATTTCGTGTGGAATGATACGAATTTTTGTTGTTGTTTTTTGCTAATTCTGCAGAAACGTAAAAGGAAATGTGCATTCAACCAAGGTGAACTGGATGCTTTGGAATACCATTCAAAGGTAAGTTGGAAAAAAAAATGCATATTTTGCAAGTACATGCTACTTGACTTTGGGAATGTGCAGAGTGGAGGGCGTGGTTGCAAACAAATTCTGGTTTTGTAGCTTGTTCCACTGGTGCAAAGAAGGAAAGGGAAAGGAAAGTCAATTTGAATTCCTGCTTACAGAGTAGATCTTCTATGTAGGTACATATAAAATTGCTGTAAGCTGCATTTACAAAGTAACTTGGACTGCAATAAACAACTGAACATTATGTTGTGATGAGTTGAATATTAAGAAGTGACTGATTTGAAATTGGCAGCATGACCTGTTCTGAAGATCAGCTCCTCAGTTTCAGGACACTGTGCTGGAGTTACTCAAAGCTTTTGTGACCAAATGTGCTTCAAAATATCTTATTCTGCAATTGAAAAAAAAATATTCTTACTCTAAAGTTTTATATTGTCCTACTAAAGCATTTTGAATGAATTGGAATTCGAGTCTGTATGCTTATGTTAGTGATGGACTGGTGAAGATACAACTGAATTACACTGAAGCACAATCGTGAAGTGAATCGTAGAAATGCAATTTGTAGGCAATGTTTGATGTGTTCTTACTGCTTTCCCAAATAGTGCTGTGAACCTGAACTAGGAGCTACACTTGCTTTCTTTCCTTTAACAAAGGTGTTAGTCATATTGGGCTTTTTGCTTAAATCTATTCCACTTGAACTACATTTAGATGACTGTGCTTTTTTAATTTCACATGGCAACAATCTTGTAGTAAATGTGTGCATCTTGCTGATACAGTGTAAAGGTCCTGTGATTATTTTTGTGAATAAGCTGTGCATGTGCAGAATCACTTTAAAGGAGAAAACTTTGAAGTTCAGCATCAACATGAGTATGAAAACGTTAAGGCTAAAGCAAAATTATTCAAACAGTAGAAGTAAGGAAGGAAATGAAGAGAAGAAGCTTGTGTCTTGGAGGCTTGTGTAACTTCAAATGGTGTTTGGTGAATATATAGAAAAGACAGTTTGGAAAAATCTGTGACCCCGGTTAGTCTCTTATATTATTCACAGATTAGAGAGTATTGGGTTTTTACTGTATTTGTGTTGTTAAAGGTTATAGCTCTGCAAGTCAACCCAGATTATTTTGGCACTTATTTATATCTGTAGACTCATCAAAAATGAACCCAAACAACCCCAATTTTGTATCTGCAAATGAATCTGTGAATTTCAGCTGTTGAATCCATTTATGAGTTTCAGTCAGTGTCAAGATAGGGAACAGTACAAAATATGCTAAATTCCTTCAGCAGCCATTTGTTAAAACTCCTGCTTTCATTCCTTCATAGTCAAGAGACTTTGTCCACTTTGTCCACCTGTGTGTTAACACATGCATGTAAGAAGGTATAATTTCTAAAGATATGCTTATTAAATTCTATTGAAGCAGTATGAACTTCTCTTATCACAAACCTAGGTACTAAAAAATTATGACTCTGTACTCTCTGATATCTAGAGGTGGCACTATTAATTTATAAAAAAATATTTTTCTTCCCCTGTTACTAATCTGGGAATTGTACTAAAGCGTATTTTGTAAAACGCCCTTGTAATCTTGAAGGTTCAGTAATCAGAAGCTTTTGAAACCACAGTATTGTATTTGTATTTGTGTATGTATTTAATAGGGCCACTGTAACTGACAATGGACAAATGGATAAACCCACCTCACTGACAATCAAAACTCATGAAGACTCCATGATGTGGAAATAAAATGGGTCTCTAAATTTTGTGAAGGGAAGGTGCTGAGGTGAAAGACAGTGTATATAGATCCAAGAATCATGTCATCCTGGACTGACTAACAGGCTATTTGAGAGATTTGCCACTTAGAAAAGTTGTAAAAATCAAATTCTGATACTTTAATTTGATTTACTGATTGTACTTCTGTATTACTGTAAAATGCATAAACTGTTGTTTTATCAAGTAAATTGAAATGTGGAAAATGACTGGTTTTTAGATCCCAGTATACATTTCCATTAAAAGTATGTTCATGGGCACAGTGACTTGAAATTAAATTAGAATTTTAAATTAAACTTCAGATAATTGAAATTAAAATTTGTGTTTTGTTGGACCAATGATATTCAACGTGTTTTGAATCAGACAACATCTGAAATGTTTTATTCAGTAGTTTCTCACTCTTTCTTTCTTTAGCCTTCTAACTGTAACTTTACCAAAAAATGAAAACCAACAATAGAAGTTAGCATGATGTCCTGGTTTTGGCTGGGATAGAGTTAGTTTTCTGCCTGGTAGCTGAACAGCTAATGCAGAGTTGATGGAGTGGGAATGCTGCAAATGAGAAATAAACCCAAGTTTTTTAAAAAGCCCCTGAGTTAACATGTTGGAAGCTAAAGAGAGATACGTTGCCCAGATGTCTGCACCCAGATCCAGCTGCTTTGTCCTTTCCGGCCTGGTCAGGATAGATCAGAAAACATCAAAGATTCTCATTGTGGGTTTAGCAGAGGATAATGTTCAGACATCAAGGATAATGTTCAAACAATTGAAACATCAGTGTGTTAAGCAGTGCTTACCCTAAGTCAAGGAGTTTTTAATTTCCCATACTCTGCCAGTGAGCAGGTGCATAAAGGAAGCTGGGAGGGAGCATGGGCAGGAGAGGTGACCTGAATTGGCCAAAGGGATATTTCATGCATAGCATGTCATGCTCACTGTATAAATGATGGGAGTTGTCAGGAGCCATGGATTTGCTGCTAAGGGATGGACTGGACATTGGTCAGTAGGTGGCGAGCAATCATATTGTTCCTTTTGGGTCATATTTCTCTCTCTCTCGCTTTTTAATAATAAAAATAATGTTTATAATTTAGTTTGTTTCAACTTTTAAACTGTTCTTACAGTAGCCCATGAGTTTTGCTTTTTTCCTTGGGTTCTTCTCCCCACCAGAGAGTGGGAGATATGTGATGAGTGAATGGCTGTGTGGTACTTGGTTGCCAGCTGGGGTTAGACAAAGACACACACCTTATTATCATGCCTTTGTAGCTTTTGAGCCAATGATCTCAGTAATTGGCTCCTTTTCCTGCCTGCAGATTGAAAATGTTTTGATTTCAGTTGCAATCCCTGGTTAAATAGATACTTGAAAGGTCTATTCTTTTTCCTTTTTTTTTTTTTTTTTTGTTTTTTTTTTTTTGGTTTTGTTTTTTGTTTTGTTTTTTTTTGTTTGTTTGTTTGTTTGTTTTTTTTGTGACCATACAGGTCAGAAAGCTCATTTGGGAAGGCACTTTGCATTTAGTCCAAGAGGGACTCAAAAGTGGTTTTCTTCGCCATACTACTGCAAAACTCAGTTGCAGGAAGGATAATGTTCCTCACCACATTGTCTGTGGGTTGGCTGAATTATGTGAAATGGCAAAGCAGTTTCCAGCTGTGAATGAAAGTGACCATCAAGCTGTACGTGTGCTAGAGGAAACCTCCAGTGCAGATCAGGACCTCCTTTCATGTGTTATGGAAAACAGCTCAAACCGTCTGAAGATAATTGTGTTAATGGGGCAGAAATACTTGGTACCACCAAAAAGCAGTTTCCTCTTATCTGATATTTCATGTTTACAGCCTCTGCTGAACTGTAAGTATCTTTAGGTGTTAGAATTTACCCCTTTTCTCCTGCCCAAGAAGGGCAGTTAATGTCAAGATGAACAGATTTTAACATACGACATCACACTGATAGCAAATGCTGCTGCATGTATCGATATCAAGGTGATATTTCCAACTTCGTGAAAATAGATAAGGACTTTCAAAGGAATGGTTAGGAAATCTTGTCATGAGGGGATTATTTGTCTCCAGGAGGCTCCTTTAAAAATCTCAGCCAAAATACAACAGTTTGTGAGCACGTTCTGAGCCGTTGTCAGCATAGAAATCATGTAAACACGTTGAATTGGGACTAGCTGTGCTGCTGGGCTCCTGTCCCACAGGATGAGCCTTTAGCACAGGTAGGTCCACGCTGCTGCTGAAGTGGTGGTCCTGCTGTCTTGATTTTTAGCTAGATTAGACCATGGGGGAGGGATGAGATAATGCACCTTAAAGCAAATGTTCACTTACAGACTCATTCTGTTCAGTGGGAGGGTCTTCCTAGATTGGAATAAACTGGTTATGGAACAAAGCCCAGTATCCCCTAGGGAAGGTAACAGTTTGAGGTACTGTTGCACCTAGCTGGAGGGCAGCACCACTTCACCAAGACCACCAGTAGCAAGCATGACTTTGCTTTCAGCTGCTGTGTTTCACAGCTGAGAGTGTTGGCTTATGCAGAAATCAGTGACAGGGAAATGGGGGGATTTTAGAATAAACAAGTCCTCTGTAAAAGTAGGTCAAAAACTATCCAAGCCACTGTCTCCAGCCCTAAGATGACAGCATGCATCAGTCTTCAATGCCATTCCATTAGCTTTCAAATTGACCATTATTATTATTATTGTTATTATAATTATTATTACTATTATTTTTATTACTATCAGTCACAGCTAGGCTTTATCAGACAGTCTTACAGGAAAGAGGTTGCCTTTGAGCAGGAGCTGGGCATTGCTGCTCTGCCCTCTACTCAGTAATTTTAGATTTTTTTAATTGCACATGAGAAGAGAGGAAGCATATGTAACTTAGGTGTTATATTTTTTAAATTTTGGTTTTTATTGAGAAGATATTCAGGAGGTAGAATCTTACTATCTAAATAATAATTTTGCATTTGAAGTCCAGAATCTAGCTAGTTAGCTGTTTTCATCTGTAGGAGAGAAAGAGGATTATTATCATTCTGCTACCACTCTGTACAGTTGAGCATGTAAGATTCTCCAAGGATTTACAGAGCAGTCCAAGAAATCTGAGCAAATTCTTTTGAAATAAACAACAGTGAATGTTAACATAATTCCCTGACTGTGGACGTTTTTTCTGAGTAAGTCTGCTGTCTATTTTAATCAATTATTTTTCTTCTTCCCCTTCACCTGCCAAAAGGGAAGTAATTCTTTCTGGTCAGTCCACTGTAAGGATAACACCTCCAGTGTTAAATGAATAAGATGTAGTAATCACATTTCGTGAGCATCAAATACTAAGCTGTTATTCTTACCATCAGACTCAATGAAAGAACAAATATGTTCTCTGGGGAAATAGAATTGAGGAGTTCTGTTTTTTCATGGATGTGTTCTGTATCTTCTATACTTCAGCAGAAGTAAACTCAGCTTTTCCCATGAAAACTCTTTCAGTTCTTTTACTCTTGTTCATTGATTCCCATTTGATACACTGTGTCTAGCTATCTGTCTCTCTTTACCTCCAGTAGTGGAAAACAGTTTTCTAGGGCTGGCTTGGAGCTGTGTATGTCCCTGCTGGCCTGATAAAAGAATCAAACAGGGCAGGAATCTTGCATTCAGGGCTGTAGCTTTTCACTCAGCTGGGTGCCTCATTACATAGCTTCTCTTGAGAAACTTGGAAAAGATTTTATTTTTGAAACTTGCACTCTGTTATACTTTTTTTTCTGAAAGTCCTAAAGATATTAAAAATTTCTTAGAGGGATCTGACTCAGATCACATAAAAGTTCTTTCTTAAGGTAATCAGCCTAAAAATATTGAATTTTCTAGATATGATTATCTGAATTAAAACAAGCATGTCAAAAGTCTTTTAACTTCTTATTTGGAAAGAAGAAATTTGAAGTTTTACTGTATATCTGTTTTAACTCATAGATATTTTTAAAGCTAATTTACTAGCTTTTATTTTTTTCTTTTCTTTAATTTCACTTGCCAGACAAGAAAAAATATGATGTAATTGTGATTGATCCACCATGGGAGAACAAGTCTGTTAAAAGGAGTAACAGGTATGTTTTATAGTAAAATTAAACAGGGTAATTAGCATTTTAATATATTGATCCAGTCCGGGACCAGTATAACTGTGAGACTGTAGCTTAAACTTGTAAATATTTTGACACTTGTTTACCTTCAAATCTATGGACCTTCGTACGTATTTCACATTTCAAATGTGTTGGATACTTGGCATACAAAATATTTGCAAAAGTAGGTCCTAAATTATCTGGCTGGTGAGAGAGTGTTAGTTATTTACAAAGAAAGTATGGATTCAGCTGTTTTGTAGGGCCTAGATCATGCAGATACTAGTTTGTAATTAGTAGGGTTACTTCAGTTGGCATAAAGCTGAATATATATGTAAGTATTTCCAAGACTGAAATCTTGCTCAGAGTTTGAGTGGATTTTTATTTAATTTGAGGTGTAGCTTAAGCTTCAGTCTAATGTTGAGAAGAACATGATGATGCAGCAGTAAAATCCTCTGGTGCAATAGGAACTCTGAGTACTGTAGTTTATGAAGTCATTAACTTAAATTTTTATGGGCTTCCATCACTGCTGAGTAACACGTCTATGCCAGTGGAGTCCTGATTGCCATAGAATTATATCTGTTTAAAAGAAGGGTAGACAGGATATATGGGCTTACAACTTTCTAGGATAAAGTTCACTGTAGCTTTTGAAGGTTGTTATGAAGACATAGTTTGAAAATGTGGAGACTGACGAGTAGGATTTCCTTTGAAAGCCCTTCAGAAACCTCTAGAAACTCTGATTCAAATGTCTTGCTTGAGTATATAAGGTACTCAGAGAAGAATTGTAATTACTAGCATAAGTTAGTCACCAAGTTCCTCTGTCCCTTATAAAATAAAGCAAAAAGGGAAGGAGCTATCACTGCTCATAATTATCTTGTTGGCAGCTAATAATTGTGAAGCATTTCTCACCTGGGTGAATCTTTTTTCCTCTGGACAGTCTAGTCCAGGAGGTATTTTGGATTTTATCCTTGTTTACTGTTTCTCACTGTAGCATTGCGTAGGGTCCTGGGTACCCACATGGTGGCTGCTGATTTTTATTAGGCAGTGTGCTGCAATGTGTAGGTTCCACTAACTGCAGTTTATTAATGGTGTAGAATTGCATCATGAAAAAAAAAAAAGGTAGAACAGGACAGGATCTGGAAAACATCCTGGATTCACTGGTGTAGCATTCAGTTAGCTCAGAAAAGAGCAGAATGGTTTTGAATAACCTGAAGAACTTCTACCGTGGCAGATAATTAGAAAAAATTAACAACTTATGAAAATAATTGGAGAAGTTGTTATCTTTAATGACCTCTTAGTTTTCCACTCAAATTAGTGTGACTCACTTGTAATTTTCATTCAGATGAGACTTTATTCTTAGAAGTGAATAGTATTACATTGCTTAAGAAGCTACTGTTCACTAAATAGCTTTGTTCTGGTGCAAAGATGAGAATATTGAGTTACATCTGATAGTTCTTAAATGAAACATGGGCTTTTAAAGTTCTTCAGAGTCACAGCTAATAATGCTTTATTTTGAGGGATGGTGGAAATACGTAGTTCAAGGTTCTGCTCAGTAAAACTTATGTACATACACAAATGATTTTATGTAAAATCCCTCAGAATTGTCCACTGGGTGTCAGTCTTGAACTATTTTTATGACTTAGATTGTCAGGAGAGAATTCTTGAAGTGACTAGTCTGTGTAATTTTTTTATCCATTTGTGTTGTTTTGCAATTTTTATGGTTGGTATATGCTAATTTGATTTCTCATTGTATTGGCATAGGTATAGCCACTTGTCTTCGTGGCAAATCAAGCAGATTCCTGTACCAGCACTAGCTGCTCCAAATTGTCTTGTAGTCATGTGGGTGACTAATAGACAGAAGCACTTACGTTTTGTTAAGGATGAACTTTATCCTCACTGGTCAGTGAAAACACTTGCTGAGTGGCACTGGGTAAAAGTAAGTTCTCAATTTGTTTTGTTGCTTTCTTGGAGACTGAGAAAACTTGAACTATGACACTTTATGTTGTTCTTATTTGTCTATTTACAACCATATGTTTCTGTATTTGAAAGCTATGATATCATCAGTATCCTCCTTTTTATGAAGGAAAAGGTCTTGGAAAAAATAAGGGATATTAAAATCTTCTACTGTTTATTTTTAATTCTCTTGTGTCAGATTACTACAGCTGGAGAATTTGTATTACCTTTGGATTCTTTGCACAAAAAACCCTATGAAGTTCTTGTATTGGGGAGAGTTCAAGGAGATGTAAAGGAAGCCTTAAGGTATGTCAGGATGTTTATGGTAAATGTCTTTATTGGTTGGATTCCCTTTGTATGTATCACTTAGTCATAATGCAATATAATGACCCAAAATCTCTTGGCTGATTGTGGACCTAAAGGTCGCCTTATTAGCTTTGGAGTGAGCACCTTAGTGAGATTAAAGAATGGAACCATCTGTCTGTTCCTTGCATCTGCTGTCTTGGGGAACTATCTTGAACAAAAGCCTTGTGGATAGAGTTCCTTTGCTGACAGGTTCTCTTGGACCACGAGTCCTTGGCACTGGCTGATGCCATTTTGTGGATGCTGTTGTTGTTCCACACATGAAGACATACAGGACTACATTGTTCTCAGTGGCTTTGCATGGCTATTGTAAACCGTGTTTTGTCTAAAGTCTCAATGATTTAATGAACTGTCGTATATGATGTCTGAGCAACACTTAACTTCCCTTGGACTTCCCTGAAGTCTGTGAATAAACATTCTGTGTGTTACCTCCCATCTGAGATAACTCTTCAAGAGCTGTAGCATCACACTTGGTAACATTCATTCTCACGTTTCTTTTCTTTTGTGATTAATATGACAGGAAATCTGAAGGTGTTCTTCCAATTCCAGAGCATCAGTTAATTGTCAGCATACCCTGCAGTCTGCATTCACATAAACCTCCTCTTGCTGGTATGTTTTGGTTTTTTTGCCTAATGTTTCTGTAGCACAGTGGTCTTGAGCATCTCATTCTGGCATGTACCTAGAAATGCCTTAATTTTCCATCTGCCATGCAATTTTACTCAACAGAACTTGTGGTTCCTCTAAAAGCATTCTGAAGCATCTCACTCTTGGTCTCTAAAAATTAATGTGAAAACTAGAACTTCAAGTAGTAGTGTGTTTTGGGTAGGCATGTAGAAAAAAATGTGGCCTTTTTCAATATGTATCTTTTAAATACTGCAACAAAAGTTTTATAGATACTTCATACATGAAGTTGTGACAAATGACCTAAAGTACCTTGTGAGGGAGAGAACTTTGGGAATACATAAAATAGGAAAGCAGAAACCTCTTTCTTTATTATGTCATCCTGAAATAAATGTTTACATATCTACATGAATTGATTATATGCCTGTGGTACAATTATGCCTTTAAATCAAAAAATATAGCTATTTTAAGACTGCTAATAAGAGGCAACAAATAAGACATGTCCTGCTTGTTTCTGAGGAGTTGTATTTCACTCACTGAAATTGATGCAGTAATTTCAGCCAGCCTTTTAGTGTGGATATAAATTCAGCTTTTTAGAGTTAGTCCAAAGAATTATTCTGGAGCACTTTGGCTAATTTTTTCAATAGGAAGTGGTACTTCTTTCTTCATTACAGCACCTTAGAACCTTACAAGGCTGTGGTAAGAAATATATTTAATACCTCTCACAAAAACTATTTCATCCTCCACCAGGGGGGAACTCACAATGAGTCTGCAAATATTCCAGGTGTTTTGTATTCACATCAGAAAAGGCAGGTAGAAGAAATGTTTAATGCTCTTGGAGAGGAGAGGTGTCACACTCTGCTTCACTTATGCTTTCTTTTTTGTCTTCCCAAGGGGTGGAAGTACTTTTGATCTAAACAATTGTGCCTCCAGGGATGCTCTAAAATCTCTGTTTGGAGGCTTGCATTTATTAAGTTACCATACACACACCCACCCACCCCTGTTCAAAAACTAGTAGAAAGGATATACTTTGGTTAACTAAAAACAGAAAAAAAGAAGGGCACTTCTAGGAGGATCTCTTTGCCATCCTGAAGCCGCATCTTTAAGAATTAGGGCTACAGCAGGAGGCATATGTGTTGATTTCAGCTAATGAACAGTGGGGTAGTTATTTATGAGGCTGTCACTTAGAGTCTCTTTAGCAAGCCAATACTTAGCAGCAAACTTACACAAACAAGAAACTTATGAGGTATCCAATGGTGCAAACCAGCAGTTTGGATGTATTATAGAAAATTTTAGTACAACAATGGTCCTCGGAACAATTCTTTTGTCGGGCAGAATCTAGAAACCATATTGGAGAATACTTTATAATTTATAACCCTGAGTGGACTTTGAAAGAAACTGTCCTTTCTAATTTCTTGTGTGTATTTCTTAAGTCTTCACTTGAGTGATGGGATTTGATACCATTGTGCAGCATTTATGTTTCTCTTTGAAAATTGAACTTGCTGTGGATTAATATGGATGATTTAAAAGGTTTCTGTGAAAATCCACATATATCCTACAGTTTTTTGGCAGGTCTGTGCAGAATATGGTTATGTAATGAAAGGGTAGACCATAAAGCAAAAGCTGATTGCTGATGCTTTGACTTCTGTGCTGTACATGGTGTTGCTTTCATGACCAGGCAATATTCTCAAGCAGCCAGTAGAGAGCAGCTGAGCTACATCCTAGAGGGGTCCAGAAGAAATTTGAACAGAAGCAGAGACTTGGTAAGGGGGGAGAAGGACACTTGATGAGTCACACACATTCTTTATGCTTTGTTTAAGTAGTAACAAAGCCAAAAATATTAAAATTTACTGATGCTGTCTGACACTTTGTTTCTTATTACAACAATAAAGGTTGTATGTTGGTACATATGTAGCCACTTAATGAGTGATTATAAGAGTTTATCTCTCTGGGGGAAGAGAAAGATGTAAATTAAAGTAAGCCATCAAAAAGAGATGTTTGTGTTCCTATAGTGCATTTAACCATGAAATTGCAACTGTAGGGGTTTTTGGTGATGCATATGCTGTGTTCAATGCTTAGAGCTCTAATATGTCATTGTAAATATACTTAAGCTGCTTTATGCAAATGTGTTAAAATCAAATTTTATTACTCCAGGTTTTGATTCAAATAACAGCAGGTTCTCTTCCTAATTCAATTCAATGTTGCTCTCAGAGAGCACAAGATACTCTGTTACAGATATGTATGAAGTTCTGCGTAACTTCATGTTACCTTTTTTCCTTTTCCTGTATTATAGATTGTCCTTGTTACAGCCATTGCTCTTCTAGTTTTTAAGTATATGCATTTATTGTTAGAAAATAATACTGTTGTGTAGGAGTTTGCCTAAAAGCACTGGAATTAATTCTTGGCTATGTTCTAACCAATTTGCATATATTCAGCAGAACTAAGCAATGAGAAGTCATGGGAACTCCTTCCTCCTGTAGCAGTGATAGCTTATTAGGCCATGTTATAAAGGTTGTCTTGGAACTAAAAAAGAAAATGCCTTTTGTTTCCTCACGTGCCTTGTGAGCCCTTGCTGTAAGACTAATTAGTCTATCTATTAACCTAGATGCATTAGCATCTAGGTTTAATATCAGGAAAGATGCAGTGGTATAAAGCCATCTTTGAGCTGGATTTCAGATTGTTTTCTGGTCCTGCTCTGCTCAAGGTTTAGATAAAATGTGCAATAAGGACCTCTACGTTGCAAACTCTTTTGAAGGCTTATTTTAAACTGAGATAATTGTGTGCTTTGTGCTTTGCATGGCTCACTGATCAGGAGGTGAAAAAACAGACAGTTATGTTCACCTTATATATCCAATTTATCAATGCAGAACCTACTTTTTAGGCAGTGGAAGTTCAAAAATAAGGAGAAACTGTTGCTTGTTCCAAAGATAATTCTTTCTTTTGCTCATTTAAACATTTTTAGGAGCATGCATCTTCAGTACATGTTGGGATTAGGGGTATGCAGGTGTAGCAAGTCTCCTGCCTGACCACTGGATTGTGCTTCAGAATGAAATGGGTTTTCTGGAACTGCTGTGTCTGCCAGCTGGCTTTGTGCTTGCTTCACGTCTCCTAGGGCATTAGGTGCTCAAGTATAAGTACACTGCTGTCATAGTGTTTGTGACATCTGCAAGTGATAAAGAATAGGCTGTTTATCATCTATTTAACCTGTTTCCTGTCAGTGGTATCTGTAAGTGGATAGAATTGTGCGCTCGGTTGTTTTTTTTTTTTTTTCCATCTAGTCTTGTGGTAGAAAAACTCAATATTTAATTTTTCTACTTGATGGAACTCCTCTAAGTTGTTTTCAGAGGAAAAGACCCCAAGGGTTTGCTTGAGGGCTGCAGGTGAGATCCATGTATGTTAAGATAGCCTACTGGTGATGTAAAGGTCTAACAATGAAGACATAATTCATAACTTGAACACTGATTTTTCCTATTTTAAGGAAACCAATGTAATGAGATTTTAAGCCAACAAAATTCAGCTCTTTTGATATGGTAATTTCATTGCAGTGCAAGTTATTGCCTGATGTGATTATGTAAATGCCTACAACCTAGCAATGAAGAATCATACTATAATGTGATCTCAAATTACATGAGGTCTTTTTTTTAAAAAGCCCTCTAAGTTTAAAAGATGCTATCTCTGCCAAAAGGAGAGGGGGAGATTCCTGCGACTTCCTTTTTAAATTCTAGAACCAAATTGAAAGAAAGAGTTTTCTGCTTCTGCTGAGCTGATCAGTTTCTTAGCTACCCCTTTTTTGCTTTCTGATGAACCAGTCTTGGAAGTTGGTTGAATCTCTGAAGTGTGCTTTTCAAATTTGTTCTTTTAGGCATGAAAGGTTTTGGTGCCTATTAAAACTGCTTTGGAATACTGAACCTAGTGCTATGATGATATTTTTAACTTACGAATTTTGAGATCTACCACCTCTTTGGGAAATATCTTCAATGTTTCAGCACCCTCATTGTAAACAATTGTTTCTTTATATCTAGTCTGAATTGATCCTATTTTAGTTTAAAATCTTTATCCCTTGTCCTATTGCTGCAGGCCCTGCTAAAACAAGCTTGTTGCCTTCTTTCTTATAGGCCTCATTTAAGCATTGAAAAGCCACAATAAGGTCTCCCTGGAGCCTTCTCGTCTCCAAGATGAACAGCCCCAACTCTCAGCTTGTCCTCCTAGGAGAGGTGCTTCAGCCCTCTGATCAAATTGTCAACAAATTATGCATAAAAAATTCTTTCCTTAATGGAGCTGTGAAAAGAACAATAAATTTTACCACTTTTTTCATTATGATGGGTTTGCAAAATGGTATTAAGCAGCTACTCATAAGTGGTGTCTAATTAGATGAATTCCCATGACACCAAACATTGCGTGAGTTTTCTGTCAGAAGGTACATTTTCCTCTAAACTTCCCAGACTCTTCTCTGCAAATGCTAGATTTCTTTAAACATTGTATCTTGCCTCTAAAAGAAGCAGGTTTTTGGAATAAGATTCCTTCTGGTAGCAGTATTTTTTAGATTAAAAGCTGCCTTGATGATAACCCGTCTGAGACACTTGTGTGATATTTGTTAAAGCTTGGGAGAAGGCGAATAGATTTTTATGCCCTGCCAAAATACAATAAAAGTTTGGAAACACCCATTAAAAAATATTTACAAAAAAGTTTTTAATATATTGGAGCTTTGGAAGAGGTGATCATGTGGGTAGGAAATGCATCTGGGGTTGGCTTACACTAGAAAGTGAAGTGGGTGCTCATCTTTCTGCAGCTGGAGCAATCCATGACCTGGTCAGCTGGAGTCTCACCTAGGGCATCTGTGGCTGGCAAGCTTGATGCAAGAAGTCAGTACCTGGATTGCACAAAAAAAAAAGAAAAAACTTTTTTGCTCATACTTTAATGTATGCTGACTGGATGTGTTTTTGCTTTCTGCAATGATCATATCTGAAGAGATTGAGTGAAGCAGCAAAATGTCAGATTTATGAGCTGTATTTTTAAGTGACAGAGATTCAGAAATCACTGGCAGATCTGATCTAAAAATGACCAAGGTATCCTTTGGAAAGGGATATGCTTCCATAATTTTTCTTCTTTTATCTTCAGCAGCAAAACAAAAAACTTAACATGCAATTTTTAGTATTGATAAGATTTTCAGTCTTTTTGCCTTTTCTGTTCGGTGCTCCTTAAACCTTTGCTTTTCTCAAGCATGTTTTTGTACACAATAATGTTTTTGTAGCCATTTCATGATACCTAGCTAAGGAGTTACTTGAACCAGCCACAGACTAAATGGCTCTGTATAACAAGTAACACATTTAACAATAAACTCTTTGCAGTAATACTTTTCAAGCAAAATGCAACATCTTTTTCTATCATTCCAAGAATACCAGTCATGATCAGTGACACAGTTGATGTTAATGACAGGCATCTTCATATTGGGATTTAGGTAGTAAAAATGCCTAACTGTAAAAGAAATTTGGTGTTTGTGTTACTGAATAACAGTAACAGTTATAGAAATACCTCTTCAGCTGCCAGGTTGATACTGGGGCAAAAAATCGTTCCTGCATTTTTATAGCCCTTTTAGTGATATACTTATTTAACTGGCATTTCGTATTCTATCTTTTAACAGTTGTGATTACAAAAATACTTTTATTCCCTTTAAGGTACAGAGGAAAAGAGTGTGGTCTTAATTAAGAAAAGAATTTATTTATTTATTTATTTATTTATAGAAGTATTGCCCCCATGTTATTGGAGCTAAGTGAGGCTTTAGAGGAGGTGTTTGGTTGCTATTAGTAAAAAATTCAGAACTCATCTATGCAGAGGCTGAAATAAATCCTTCTTCCCTTGCTCTAAATGAAAACCAATAAATCAAGGCTATTGAAGGCCTTGACAGTATTGTTCAGAATCTCAAGGGCACTTATTTAAAATTACTTTCTCACTATAAATAGTCCAGCTGTTTGATGAAACCTCTGAAATTAATTTTCTGTCTCTCCCTTTTTTAATGAAACATCCATTTTTTCATCTGTTAGCATCACAGGGGAGGTTTTACTTGTTTACTATTGTTATTTGTACCATTGTCATTCTTGTTGTCATCTTCTTTTTTTTTTTTTTTTCTCTTGCACAGCAGTTCTGGCAGAGTTTATCAAGCCAGATGCAGAATGCTTGGAGTTGTTTGCTCGCAACCTACAGCCTGGCTGGACCAGCTGGGGAAATGAGGTCTTGAAGTTTCAGCACATTGATTATTTTACTCTTCTGCAGAATGAAAACTGATCTGGGTCTTAGCTATCTGTACCTTCTGACATTCCACATTTTCCCAGGGGGCTCTTGAACTTAACTTTATTACTGATGGTGCACCTAAAGGTAACAGAAATAAAACCAGTTGCCTTTTAGTTGGAATTCTTTAAGTGACATGATATCTGTTTAATGCTATCTCCCCTCTGTGCAAAGTGGTCATATATTTTGACAATCTTAACATATTTAAATACTGATGCTGTCACCAAAAATCAGTAAAGATAAAACTCCTTAACAGCAGTGTACCATTAGCCAGATGCATGAGGGAGTATCTCCTCTGTACTATTGTATATACTGATTATAGAGAAAGCTCCCATTTATGTCCTGTATTTTACATACATATTCATTGACCTTTCTGAATAACATACAGATGATAATAATTTCCCCAAAATCATTAACATATGTTCCCTCCACGTGTTCTTCTGTCTCAGGGGGTTTCTTTGGTTGTTCCTGGTTGTCAGCCACCCCAAAATCATATTTGACCATCTAGTGAACTTTTTACCATCCAGTGGTAAAAAGTTGGCATAACTGGGCTGGTTACTCTGCAGTTTTCCTTCTTGGTCAGTGTTTAACATGACCCTAAAGAATAAGCATTTTGTGGTTCTATAGGCTTGTGGTTTTTGAAGAAAAATCATATTAACTCAGCAGGTACAAACAATTCTTCATCTGCCAACAATGTTAGTGTGTAAGTTTATTCCTGTTCTTTTTCAAACCTCAAAAAAAAGAAAGATATTTTAAAATAGTCTCACTGCAGCTATCAAATCTGAGCTGATGGTACATTGCTACTGCTGTACTACGACTCTTGTGTTATTTTTAAAGAATATATTGTTTTTAAAGAGTCAATGGAAGAAAACGGTTCTGAATGATGCATGTTAAAGATGTTTTTGCAAAAAACAATGGATTTTGAACTAAAATAGTTATTAAGGCAGTGTATCTTCCTACATGTTAGTATGTGTTTGCCTCAGAGAAAATAAAAGGAGCAGTGCTTATGTTTATTTGCACTTGAATTCATGACTGACCATATTCTATGTAAAATTATACTTTTAAAACAATTGGCAATTCTCTCTTTGTGTATATGGTGTAATTTTTTGAATACATTGTAAATAATAAATCTCAGCGTCTTAAAAGTTCTGGAATTTTAACAGGTTATATGTATTTTTTAAAAAATTATTCCCTTATGTTTTGGAACATTATAAAGCCATGCCAGTGAGCTGTATTTTTCAGCTAACATAAAAATGATCCCTTAAAAAAGAATGGTATACTTTATTATCCTTTGCCGTGCTTAGATTTACTTTGAAAAATACAAAGAAAATGTAATGAAGTCTCTGCCACTCTACTTATTTACAGCAGTAGAGGCAGAGGTGCTGGACAAACTTACTTTCCTGATGGCAGGCTCCTGAGTTCTGACTGTGTATGATGGAGAACAAAAATGCATTACCTAACTTCTGTACCTTCATTCCCATTTTGGTAGCCTGGTGAGCTGTGAAGATTTTTTAAAGTTAAACTTCAAATGTTAATAGAGGATTTTTTTATAATTTTGTAATAAAATGAAAATAAAGGCTTGTGTCTTATTTGCCGACTCAGTTTACTCAGTATTACTGTTCAATTTCATGTTTTGCCAATTGGAGCAGTGGAGTTAATAAAACAAGGAAAACGCTTTATTCTCCCTCCCCCAACAGTTAAACATAAACTCAAAATAAGTAAATAATGTAACAGTGGAAGTAGTTACTCAGGAAAACATTTTTTGCTGCATGATTTTATTTAGTGTTTTAAACTGTCAGTACATAAGCAGTCTTACCTACAATCTTAGCTACAGAGGGATAGATGGTTCTTTATTTGCTTTTAGTTTTATAAGGCATTTCCTACCTAGAGCTTCTGCTTTCCCAGTCAGAATTCTCCTGTCCGCCCAAGATGCTCTTGTCTGGTACTAAATGATGTATGGGACTCAAGGATGGAATAAATGATAACTGCTGCACTTACCTTGTTTTCCCTTTCTACAGAACAGCACAAGGAATGACAATATTGTCTGTTCCACATCCGCTGCTATGAACAACTCCAGATTATCTTTTTAATTACAACTAAAAGAAAGATGAACAGTCTTAGAGATCAGGAAACCACCTTTCTCCTTTGAGCTAAGCAGCAGAACCCTTCTAAGGGAATAACCTTCTTTAGGCTGTTGAAGAATTGATGACCTTATTAATTTGTCTTTTCTGTGGAGTCCCTTTGCAAATAGTGGCTTTCTAGAATCCTAGAATCATTAAGATTGGAAAAGACCTCTAAGATCAAGTCCAACTGTTAAGCTACCATTACTGTGTCCACAACTAAACTGCAGCAGCTGAGCAGCTACTTCCAGCACTTGGGATCCAGCCTCCTAAGTATGGCTTGTACATAGAGAACTTGTGCAGGCAGACTCTAATCTTCTCAGGCCGAGTCAAAAGTTAAAGACTGGAACTTATGTCATACCTGATCCTGTCCTAAATAATTACAAAACTGTGCCTTGGACACCTGTTTGCGGCTTTTCCACTGCTCTGGCCATGAAGAAAACCTTGTGAATGTGACAGGTTCCACACCTGCAGCCAACCTGAAACCATTTCATTTTCTCATGAAAAAAAAATTAGCCTGTTGCTAACTTGGAAATCTCATGGTGGTATTAGCAGTTGATAGTTTCAGTTGATAGGGTCATCTTTTAAGCATAATTATTTTCCTGTTATGCTTAATTCCTAATAAATAGCCCCTTACACTTTTCCAGCTGTCCAAGACCCCAGTTCTTCCTAACCAGCCATCAGATCATTCAGTGTCTGTCAGAAGATTGTTTTGAGACAGAACCTGCAGCATACTGAAAGATCAGTCATGAGTGAAACCAGCAAATGTAACAGGACAATTTAAGATCCAGTTTCCTTTTATGTTATATATGTCAATCCCTCAGAGGGAAAAATGCCCTCTGTTGTGTCAAGCCTTGTTTAAAAAAGAAAACATGCTCTGAAGAGTTTACAAAGTTGGTAAGAAATGAAAAAAAAAGGGAGAAGATAAGGATGGAGGAATAGAAGATAGTAATGAGATATTAAAGGTGTACTTAATAAGTATCAGCCTGGGTATTATGCACATCTTCAGTGTTCCTAAGGAATTGTAAGGTTGTTTCCTCTATTTTAAATGGGATTTTCTTCTTTTGTATTCTGGTATCACACATTCAAATAAAAAAATAGGTGGAATGTGTATTTTACTTACAACATTAACAAAATAAAATGGTTTTTTTATGCTATAAATTCTTCTTGTGGCAGCTTAGAGAAGTGACAACTGTGATTACTCAAGAATTTTCAGAAAGTATGTTATTTGGTACATCTGTTGTTATTTTAGCAGGACAATGGTAAAAGTTTATTTGGCTAGATGTTCTCTACTACTTAGTCTTTTAAAATGATGTCTTATTGCAAAAAATCTCAGTTACATTACAAAAAGAAGTAATTTTAAGCTTTTTCTATACGTAGAGTACATCAAGTGTCATAATCAAACTTACTTTCATGAATCTTCAGGTTTGAGTATGATTTTGAAATGTCAAATTAGCATATGACCTTTGCTTGTATTTTTAAACTTCTGTGAGTAAAAAGAATTATACCAGTAAGATATGTTTTTGGAATAATGATTGCTAGGCATGTAGTCGTGTGGAAACAGCAAAACTTCTTTTGCAAGATTAAACATTATTAAGGAAATGAGGTAAGTGAGGAGGTCGTACCACTTCATGGCATTCAGCTTGGATAGGTGTCAGCAGTGGCAAAGGGTTGACTTAAAATAGATTTCCAAAGTACATAAACAACTATAAATTACAGGAGATAAATGCTAATCTGCCTTGATAATTGTGTTCATTAGCCTCAACATACCATTAAAGACTTATCTACTGCTTATTTTGGGTTGATGGTAACATGAAGAGAATGGAAGGTGGCTGGAGAATAGCCAAGGGGTATGAGGCATGTTCCAGTTGCTGAAAGAAGTCTTGTGATGTCCCAGCTGGCAGGTTTTTTCATAGAATCATAGAATAGTTTGATTTGGAAGGGACCTTTGCAGGTGATCTAGTCCAACTTCCCTGTAATGAGCAGGGACATCTTTGTCTGGATCAGGTTGCCAAGAGCCCTCTCCTACCTGACCTTGAATGTTTCCAGGACTGGGTCTGCCAGTTTTTCTGTGGAGAGAACTCTGTGTGTGCAGGCTAAGCTGACCTGTTGGAGTAGTGTGACTCAGTGGTATCCAGTGCTTTGAATAACAATGATATGTGCATTGCTAGAAATTGAAAATCACCATGGTTTTACTTGTCAGTATCCTAATGCTACCAGTTTGTGGGGAAAAGGTACCATTTATTTGGTTAGAGATGCCCCAATACTGTACATGGTTTGAAAGCTTGCCTGGGGGCTGTGTAGTATATATATTTTTGCTGGGTAATCTTCTGGAAGCATAACATTGACACTGATAAGTGAGCAGCATAGCAGCTGCCAAAGTGTGTTCCCATGACCCTGGCCACATCTCAAAAGCGTGGGAAGCCTGCAGAGGGTTGGGCAGCTGTGTGGTTCCACGGGTGCTTTGGCAGCTTCAATGTGCCTTGACATCACTAAAATGACATCAGAGCTGCTCTAATGAGGCTGGGTCACTTTGCTGGGCCTAGCTACGAGGAATTTCATTGCTAGCATAAAGGAGTTGAGGTTATCACCTTGTCAGGGTTGTTGTTCAAGTAGAATGAAAATTTTCTAAAGAAAATTGCTTTTTACTTGCAAACATTTTTTATTCAACTTGCTGAACTCTTGAGGTACTGCAGAGCCTGTGCTTTCAGCTCTGGGTCTGAGCCTGCCACATAGGCTGTTTTGGGATTAAAGAATTATGAGCCATGCTCTGAGGGCTGAAATTCAAAATGTCTCTGGTCTCGAGATATCGAGGCGTTCTTGGAAGTACTCTGGCTGCCAAACTGCAGGCAGAGCTCTGTAGTGGTCCTCCCTTCTGGCTTTTTGGCTTTTTAGCTACCTGTTTTGTGAAAAGAAGGGCTGGGAGGCACTGTTGACACTGGGGTGTTGACACTGAAATCACAGTGCCTTCTTAAGAAATGCACCATC